TGAGGTGTCAGGTTTATCACCCTTCCATGGAGATTGATTGGGATCTTCAAGCAGTTCCAGTTGCAACCAGAGCACCCCTGTCTCAGACATTTCCAAGGTGCTTGCTTCTTCTTCATCAGTTTATTTCATGCTGTCTTGATTACGAAGAAACACTGTTAGTTTTAAGCGGAAACTTGCTTAATTTGGAGGTTTTGAAGCTTTAGTTAATGAATTCTGACTTCTATAACTACACCTCTATTTATTCTGTTTTAAACGCAAAGCATAAGGTGTTCCCATTTTATGATACGGAGTCTAGGACAAGAAGGGATCTTGCTTACTTTCATTAATACTAAATGTAGAAACATTGAAAAAGCTTGATTAAGCTCTTAAGAGATGTTTACAATGTGTTGGCTGTTTGTGATATGTAATGATTTGTACTTTGCAACAAATAGGTTTGGGACAAACGGCTTTTTTGGTGTCTCTCTTGAATCTTTAAAGGGCTTTCCTTGTACGACAATGGTGCCTAGGCATGAGAAAGCAGATTCAGCTCCAAGATCAATGTGCTGCCCACAATGCACGCAGAGCTATGAGAAAGAAGTAGCAGATGCGATGAAAGACATTGAGAAAACTGATTCCATGATCAGATTAGAAGCAACTCGATCGTCCCTTCCACAGTGGTTGCAAAATGCTAGAACTGGCAGTGAAATGAAGGATCAGATGATGCAGGTAAATTTATCTAGAGTTGGACTATATATTAACTATTCCTTTCCCTCGAATAGAACAGGTACTTATTTTGTATTCGTCTTTCACCAGAATGATAGACAAAAAGTGATGACGACGAAGACTCAAGAATTGCAGAAGAAATGGCACGAAGCTTGCTTGCATTTGCATCCTAAATTTCATCAACCGAACTTCAGCACACAGAGAATTGCTCCAACTCCACTCTCATCTATGAGCCTTTCCAATCAAAACTTGTTGGGGCGTCAATCTCAACCCAAGTTAGAGCTCAACAAAAGTCTTGGATGCTCGCTTCAACTGGGGCCACCGGAACGCTCATCAGTAAGCCCACCGGGAAGTCCAGTGACCACCGAGCTGGCACTTGGACAAGTAAAGTCAGGTCATGTTAAGGACCTTCTGGGTTCCATTTCTTCAGAATCTCAAACTCAGAGCAACAAATTGTTGGATCACGACGACTCCTTCCAGAAGCTCCTCAAAGCTTTGGCAGGGAAGGTATGGTGGCAGAAAGATGCAGCATCTGCAATAGCGACAACTGTGACGGAATGTAAAATGGGAAATGGGAAAAAGCGAGGAGGAGTAACAAAGGGTGATACGTGGTTGCTGTTCTTGGGTCCTGACAGAGCAAGCAAGAAGAAGATGGCGGAAGCTCTTTCTGAGATTGTATCCGGGTCCAGTCCGATAACATTCTATCTCGGTGCACAGCGTGGAGAGACGAAAACCGACGTCCCTGTTCGTGGCAAAACAGCTTTGGATCGAATAGCAGAAGCCATAAGGAGGAATCCATTCTCTGTGATCATCTTGGAGGATATTCACGAAGCAGATTTGCTAATTCGCGGCAGTATAAAACGAGCGATGGAGCAGGGTCGGTTTTGTGATTCCCATGGCAGAGAAATTAGTGTCGGTAACATCATGTTCATCCTTACTGCAAACGAGACTTCAACCAGTGAACAAAACGTTGCAAATTTAAACGGAAGAAGCTGGCAATTACGACTTTCGATTGCAAAGAGAACAACCAAGCGTCGACTAGATTGGTTATGCCATGACGAAAGATTCACAAAGCCTCGAAAAGAAAGTGCTTCGGGTTTAACATTTAATCTAAACGAAGCTGTAGAATCAGACGAAGACAAGACAGATGGCTCAATGAATTCTAGTGACCTCACAGTGGATCATGAAGACAACCATGTCACTCACAACATCCAGTCACCCACTAGTTCTACCCCATTCCTGAATCGAGAATTATTGGATGGCGTAGATGATTGTGTCGTCTTCAAACCCATTGATGCCGCCCATTCGCCACAGTTTCACTGCCGCCGTAGAGAAAAGATTTTCCGACATCGTCGAGAAGAACATGTGCATTGAAGTACAGGAAGTGGCTCTTCGAAAGATTGCCAGTGGGGTGAGGCTAAGCCAAACAAGCTTGGATGAATGGATAGAGAAAGCATTAGTTCCAAGCGTGAAGCAGTTGAAGAGAACGTTGGACGTCCAGAGTAACGATGGTGAATCCTTAGTCGTTAGGCTTGAAGATGACTTCGACGGAGATTATGGTGGCCGGAGATATACAGATTTGCTGCGTCCTTGGGTAAGAGTGGGGGTTGAGACCTAAGGAAAGGGACAAAGTGGTAATTATAAGATATTAGTTGGGACTTGGGATATAGAAATAAACTGACTAACCAAATGGCGGGGAAAGACGAAGAAGGTTCTAACAAACGAACGGGAAAAGAAAAACCGTTACAAGGAAGAGATTTGGGACGCGTGTCGACTGTACAATGGCTTTTCTTTCCCACAGAAGATTAATTAATTCGTAATAAACTGATTATTTTTATTTGTAACTTACAAGTACATTTTTTATTTAGTAAAGAATATTGTCCATAGTTTATTTTTTTAAAAGAAAATTATATCCAATATATATGTTAAATCTTAATGATCCACTCGATTATACTTTGAAAAAAATGATATAAAAAGAAATTAAAAATTATAATATTTCAATTCAGGCAGCGAAGATGTCAAAATCCTAAAAGAAGAAGTAGTGTCTAATATGGTATTTTGTAAAGGTAGTCAAATGATGAAAATGCCCTTGTATCATTTTTTTTTAAAAAAATGTTATCAAATTTGTTCTTATCAATACATTTCTTATCATTAATTATTTAACACTTGTCATTGTCAGTTTACAATTTATTATTAAATAATTTATTATTGCCAATACATTTCTTATCATATGCTGTTCAACACTTGCTATTACTATTTCACAACTTGTTAATAAACTTTTTCATACAGGGACATTTTTGTCATTTAACTAAATTTATAAAATATCAGATCGGGCTCACTTCCTCCCTTGGGGTTTTGACCCCTTAGGTACCTGAATTGGAATATTACAATTTTCAACTTCTTTTTATATCATTTTTCCTCATATTTTATACGTAATTTTCCTTTAATGCAAATAATTACTTTTTTACTTGTAAAATTTTAAATATGGAATATGTTCTTAATTTGGAATAACAGGTCACAAATTTATTAAAAGTGCAAGTTGACGAAGTTACTAAATGGAACAAATTTTTTTCTAGCACATAAGCACTACCTTTTGTCCTTAATATAAGGGTTGGTTTTTTTACCTTAAATATAAGAGTTAGTTGAGAATTTGATTTAGTTATAAATATAATATCTTAATTTATTTTGTCCATCCACGTTTGTAGTTTACTATTGATTACTTATGTCAAGTAGTTTTTCATCTAAAAGTAGTTATGTTTTAAAAAGAGTAATTTAAGAAAACTAATTTATATTTGTGATAAATAACTAACTAAACTAATTTTTTTTAATTTATACAAATTACTTAAATAACTCTTATATTAAAAATCAGATATTGTATGTTCTTATTAAAAATAATTCTATTTACAGCATGCAGTCGCAATGGAGAGCACAACATGACAAAACCAATCCCGCTTCATCGGTGCATACTTCATTTTCATTCACTGAATTCAGATTTCCACTTTTTGTGCTTCCTGTCCACTCTCTTCAACCTTTCTTGTGACTCCTCGTGTTTTTCTGCATTAATTATATATGTCAAACATGTCTGTTTCATACCCACTCTGATTCTATGCATAAGAGGGGAATTTAGTCCCCTTTTCATGCCTAATTTTTTGTGACTTACTCTTGAAATTCCACTCTTTACCCTACGAACAAGGCTCTTTTTGAAATTCATATGTGTGTGTATATATTATAGAAAAAATTAATTTAGAGGTCTTTATAGTTTTTTTTTATTTTGAATCAGGTCCTTAAAATTTGTTTTCTTTTTATTGAGTCCTTTAATTTTTTTTATGTTAAATTAGTTACTCCCTACTATTAATTGTGACCAGCGCTGTTAAAAAATCTCTGTTAAGCCCGTTTGAATCATCTCTCCACTGAATCCTCAACTTCGTCTCTTTCCTCACCATTATCCCTGTAAATGGCTCAGCTTCCCACGTCCCCTCCATTGCAAAATATAAAGCTAATTTTAGTGTTGGAACTCATGCTTAAACAAAGTGCTTCTCCTCCTCCTTCATATTCCTTTCACTCTTGCTTCCTACTTCTTCTTCTTCTTCTCCTTCCTGACCAGAATTCGACAACTCTTCCTCAACTACTCATACTTCTACACCTTGCTCACCTTTCACATTCTCTGCCATTTTCTTTGATCTCTAAATGCAATGGCGGATTAGATTATTAGAGCCACCAAGAACTGGGTGCTCTATGTTAGGATGAAGCTCTTGCTCAAACACTCCAGGTTGCAACGAGAACGAAGCGACTTTCACTCTTATTACAAATGGCTTCTCGAGTGTTCCTTTTTCCCTTTCCTTCTTCTTCGTGCTCGTTTACGTCTCCTGCAACTTCAGTACAATCAATGGCCTCTCGATAATTGGTCGCACGTGTTCCCTAATCGCTTCCGCCATTCAACTCATCTCCTCCGAATACCATTTTTGGAATCGAAGGAGAGAGGAGACCGGGGTTGATTAGACGAGATAATAGAGATTTTTTAACAGTGTTAGTCATAATTAACAGGAAGGACTAACTGATTTAACAGGAGAAAATTAAAGAACTTAATTAAAAAAAATTCAAGGACCTAATTTAAAATAAAAAAAATTATGAAGACCTTCAAATTAGTTTTTTTTATTTAAAATAATAGTTTTATATTTAGATCAGAAAAATAATAAATAATGATAACTTTTAATACTTGTTTTATAATTTTTTGTTTCTTCTTGTAATTTTTTTCCTTCCGTACCGGAGCTTCGGATGACATGAGAATTCAAATCAGTCGGTCCCTGGTACGCAGCCGGGCGCGATCAAAGAGGCCCGCCTTGCAAGTTGAACTAGAACATAAACACAGGAATGTGAAATCCACCACTGTTTAGGCTTCGACTAAGGAAGACAAATCCACCACTGTCATGAACTTCAGTTTTCGTCCTCGTTTCTTACCTAGCTACCTCCGAAAACAAACTCGTCATCGACAAACCACGGACTCTTCCAACTCGGAAGCAAAATGGTCGGGATTCACCGTAACCTTACTTTTTGCTGCTGTTTCCGTTACCGCTGCTGTGTCCGGTATGAGCTATAAACTCTGTCTTCTCTGTCTGTGTTTATTATCTTTTCTCCTGTTTGGCTTCGCTCAAGCTTCAAACTTTTGAATCCCCAACCTTCAAGAACTTCATGTGAGCTGTTGAAAGTGCAGTGTACTTGTTCAAGAAAAAAACGAAAGCTTTGAACTCCAAGCTTCCTGAGCTTGAGGCATCCCTCAAGTCATCCTTAGAGAAATGTGCCTCTGAGAGGCAAGGCCGCATTAGGGCACAACAGGTTTCTTTCCTTACCTCACTTATTTTATTCAAATGACTGAATTTTTCTTTCTTCTATTTCTTTTTCTCTTTTTAATATGAAGTGCAAAAAAGTAAATGAAATTTGGTTAGCCCCCGCTTTACAAACAGGAAAAAATATGTTTTGTTAGGGGAAGCATATCGGACGGACAGAGTGATGCTTCTTTTTCATCCTTCTCGTTTTTTTAGAAGTTGTCAGCAAGATTATACCTTTCCATTCCTTTGATCCCCATCCATCCAAACAAAGCATTTAACTGTTATGTTGGAGCTGTTCTTGAAGTATTAATCTTAACGGCTAAGTGGTAGGACTAAGGAGTTTAATTGTTATTGCTCACATTTCCGTGATCAGAATTATGTTTTAGCATAAGCTGTGGTGACCATGTACTCTTTACATTTTAAGCCGACAAGCCTTTCACGTGAGAAAACTAGAAATTTGTTTTTGGGCTAATGAACATAATAGAGCTATTAATATAACCAATAACTGGCCTCAAGTTAAGAGGAGTTTGTTTTTATAATGGATGGTTGCCGGGTGGGAAATGATGGGGAGAGGCAGGAACTTAACCTTGAGGCATTGTTTCTATCTTATAAACTTAATGGAGTGTGGTGGATTATGCTGAGTTCCCAAACCATTATATCCCACCCTCAAGCCCAACTTTCAAACACCAAAAGCAAAACAGAACAGAACAAAAGTTGGAGGATTTGGAACGGTTTGCCTCATTACTTTTATTCAATTAATATTTTGCTCTCACTAAGCATTAAGGGAAATGAAATACTGGGGTAACTTGGAAGTTTGACCCTCCCCACACAAGTAATCACTATTAGCTTTTTAACTTCTAAATAACTGAAAAGGGGCTACCCTCCTTTTCTGCATTAGACCTTCAAACATTACTGTGATATCTCTTTCTCTTCCCATTCTACCGCACCCTCTCTATTCTCTTCAAAAACTTTCAAAGAGAACCAAAGCTTTCAAGTTGAAGAGGCCTTATATGTATATTTACTTGGTCCATGAGAGAGTGACCTTTGATGAATGTGGCGAATAACGTGTGACAGAACTTAAATTCTTTATTATAAGGACACTTTTGTATAACTTGGTGGCTAACTATTTGCTACGTGAATTTAGATTATTGTCATCAGAAGAAATATGTATTTAAATATTGATTTGTCTTTTATTAAATAAAATCTGATCTTCACTTGCATGCATTCTTGTGTCAGTGTTATAAAGTCTAAGAGACTTAATGTTATTGTTTGTCTTTGATACTTTATTTTCACTTGTGCTAATTTCTTTGCTTGCAGTCCTTGAGAAAAGCACTAGCACAACCTAAAAGTGAAAACGTAGAGATGAATTACTATCCCATGGCACCTATTGGCATCATCCAATCGTGCTTCACTACAAGGTAAAATATCTGTTGATTATTTCATATCTTATTTTATGAATAAACCGTTCATTTATGGTAGCTTGATACTGCCGAGTCAAGCAGTTTGAATTGCTCTTCCATTGAAATTCAATGGTTTAAAGCACCATGCTTGCCCTCGAATTCAGAAACTGGATTTTGATTTCAGTCCATTTTATCAGACGAAAAAGAACTAACGACTACACTGTTAACAGCTGTAATTATTTCTTCAGTTAGTCTCCATTATAATTATTTTTACTAATTCCATAGGCACTAAGGCATGTGTTGAGGTAGATAAATCGTGGTGTAATCTGCCTCCACTTGGACCATAGATCGAAACTCTTCTTCTGGTTGAGTCCATTCTTGTGTTTAGTGGGCATCATGCCTGGTTTTAGCGAATAATTGCTTGCTTGATGCTCCGTTAATTAACTGTCTTTTGACATATTTGCAGAAATGGAACACCAAGGCAACCCTTACTTGTACCTCTTGCTAGAGCATCTTTGATTTTCAATACAACTCGTGTACCACCGTCATCACTTGAGGGTCTTGCAGAATATTCTCACTGCTGGGTTATATATGTATTTCATCTAAATACAGATCTTGAGAAGCTATGGAACCATCCATCTAAGTCAAAGTTCAAGGCAAAAGTGTGTTCCAACCTCGTATATGGGATATCTGTTTGACACTTTTTCTATTGAAAATTAATGTTTAGTCGATGGATGTGCAGGTGAGGGTTCCAAGATTGCAAGGTGGAAGAAAGGGAGTGTTTGCTACACGCTCCCCTCATCGTCCTTGCCCCATTGGATTAACAGTTGCGAAGGTGATAACAAATGTTGGCTCCCTGTAGATTTTTCTGACGTGCTTGCTGAAACAAACATAAGTTTGCATAATTGCATGGTATTACGATTACTTCATTTAATTAGTGGGTGTTTGACTTAGCTTATTTTAAGTGATTTTGCATTATACGAGGTAAACATGAGAGGCGCTTTGTCTTGTAAAGTGTAAAAGTGCTCTTTTTTTTTTTTTTTTGCTTCCAAGCCCCCACTAATGTATAGCTAGTTTATTCAATTTAGAAGACCACCAAACTATCTAGATCTTGATCTCCCTGAAAATGTCAAATTCTAATGGATATTTATGCAAATCCTCGTAGCATTTCTGAATTGTTGCATACTTAAAAAGAACTCCTGTAAAATGATATCAGTGATTCAATGTTCTTGTTCACATTTATAGTGGTTGTACACAATTAATGAACGGTCTATCTCTGCCCTCCCTCCCTAGTAGTTATTCAGTATGTGAAAGGAAGTAATTCTTGTTCTGCTAGAGTTCCTGCCATTGCAAAAATTATATGCAAATAATTATTAATCATTGAAATTAAAAGTACTCCTTTTTCCTTTTTCTCTTGAAACAAACAAAACAAAATAGTAGCCCTGGTTTTCTTTCCTTGAGCTAACTGGGTTTTACAGGTGGAAGCTGTCCAGGGAAATAAGGTTTTGCTCTCTGGTGTGGACCTGGTTGATGGAACTGTAAGTTGGCTAATCTATGCTTCCCCATGCTAACACTACAGTCATTATGGGCTGCTTAGGCTATTGATTGCTTTGTTTAACCATGAACTTGATGCTGTTCTATGATAATGATGCGGAGTAAATGATACCTATTTCTGAACATCATCAACAGCCAGTGCTTGATGTCAAGCCCTATCTACCATACTCTGATGGCATTGTGGAAGCAAAAGTGCCTAATTGGTTGATGGTAATGATCCATTATCCTTTATTTGTATTTAATACTGCTTATGCTTATGTTTGGGTCTTTTAAACGAAAGATCCATGTTTTATGAGGAATGTGGGATATTGCAGTTCTTTTGTTACGTAGGTTATAATAGCATGACTAGATGCTATTTATGAAGTGTCGCACAGTTTAAGGTGGTAGATCATTGTAATAAATTTCGTATACATCTAATAAGAAAGATTTGTTATTAATCTTAACGTAGACTGTGTAACTTGGGCAGTAGGAGGGTGCTAAATCCGGAAGATGCATTTCTTCAATGATTTTTAACTAAAAATAATCATCACCTAGATTGTGGGAAGAAAAGGACTTGCTCAACCGTGGTACTCGTTAGTAGTCAATAAAATCCTAATGTTGTATTCCAACAATCATTTTTACTGATGATCCACATTAAAGATATCAAATATCTGAGTAATAGTTTATTTTTTCTTTCATCTTGAGTCTATAAAGCGATTTTCTTCTTCTTCTTTTTTTCCTGATTAATTTCATTTTTTTTTCCAGGAGGATAACTTACTTGCTGTAGCTTCTATAAGCTTCTCAGAGGACTTTACTTCAACCCTAGAAAATTGCTGGAGAATGGCAGTGAGTTGTTAATGACTTGCTTGAAATGTTGAATTCAATACCTGCCTCTGCATTGGCTAGCTTGAGGTGTACCTATATGATTTAGGACAAAATTTAAGCAGAGTTTTTAAGATGTTAGTTACCATGATCCTAATAAAAACATGACACATTTGCAGCTCAGCAACAGTTAATTGACTATTTTAAAAGTTTCTTTACATGCTATGTCTTGGTTGGAGAATCTCATAGGAATCACCAGAAAATCTTCACTTTTGTTAGTTAATTCAATACTACTGTTGATAAGTACGGAATCATGATGACTTTTGATGTACAATTTATTGACTTGCAAAGATAAATATCCTATTGAAGAACGCGTATCCCCAAAAACCATAATGTTTTTCAATCCTTAAAATACTCTACCTTGCACTAGCACGCTTAGTTTTTATCAATTTCTGTTAATGCTGTTAATGATGTGAAGACTCTTTTTCCCTTCTTAATAACTTGCATAAAACCTGCTTGCATTTTCTGCCTGATTTAAGATCCCTTGTAGCTAATGAGACCTCTCAATTCACTGTGAGATACTAAAAATGGCATGGTACCTTCTAAGCTCTGGGTTGTTGTGTAACACACGCACACGCACACACACGCGCACACCCTTTTATTGCCACTCATTTGGATGATATCTGTTGACCATCTTGATGCTTTAGGAAAAGAAATCACTTTATGCATCAGCAGGCGAATTCCAAAGCCTGATAAAGCAGGTTCTTTCATGGGATATTCGGTCGGTTAGTCAGCGGAAGAGGCCTCATGATGCGATTTCTAAGAAAGACAATGACAATGATGCATTGATGGATGACCCTTCTGATATAGATGGGAGCCTAGATGAAGCAGCTTGTATGCTTGAAAAAGAGCACAATTCTCTATATTCCAACGAAGTAATTTATCACCTTATTTTGGAGGGGCTGGATGTCTCCTATAGAATTGATGACAATAGTAATGTCATTGTTGAAAAGGTTTCAACTTTTGCTGGCCTAAGCAATGATCGTAATTTTGTAGCTAGGTTGTTTCTTTTGTATCCCAAAGTCTATTATTTTTATCAAAGTTACTTTTTTTACCCAATGTTTGTTTACTCTCAGCCTGCCAACATCGCCAACAAGTGTTTCGCAAGGGAATGATTTATTGACCCATGAACCACGTATCTCCATTTCTAATATTGCCAACATGAAGGAGGTGTGTTTTTTAACAATATCATGTACTGACAGATTCTGTATATCAAATAAAATAATTAATATTAATAACTTCTGATGATTTTGTAGCTTTCCTCCTTTGTGATACGGGCTGAGATAAAGAAAGTTGAGAAAAACTTTGGATGGTATTATGAGGGATGCAACAACTACAGCTGTGGTGCAAAATTGAAGAGCAAGGTTCTAAGAGTCAGCTGTCATGGGTGTCAAAGACCAGCGTCAGGGATTGTGCTTAAGTAAGTTATGTTTTTTTATCAGCACATTTTTATAGATTTTTTTTTTTTTTTTAAATTTGGTTCGATTAAATGGTTCTGTTTTTCTTTTTTTGATGACAGTCAGACAAGTTAAATTACTTTGCTTTTACGAAACAAAACAAAGGGGGAGAAAACAAAGAAAGAGAACTTAGCAATCCTTTTTGAATCTAATTTTGTTCACTTCTGCTTTTCTGACTAGATGTTGGATCTATCTACGTTTCTGGTTCTCTGTTTAGCACACTCATTGGGACTGTTTCATTTGTTGTTCATTGGCAGGAATTAGTACTGTATCTCAAATCTGCGTAAAGAAAACATAGACCATTCAAAACTGTTGCTGATAATATTTATCCATTTATGTTATTGATGCTAGATATAAAATACACTTTATGGTGGCTGATGATACTGGAACTACATCGGTTGTCCTTTTTGATGGTGTTGCCTCAAGGCTATTGAATAAAAGTGCTAAGCTCTTAAAGGATGAATTGATTGCGGTAACATTTTTATTCAAAATATACTCTGATTGATTCAGTACAATTCAATCCAGTTATTATTTGCCTTTAACTAATAATTTCCCCCAAAAAAAAAAGGAAGGACGGCCGGATTCTTTTCCTGATGAATTTGAGGATTTGGTTGGTCGGACATTTGTCATGAAATTGAGATTGAGTGAATACAATTCCAAGTACAGATCATCAAGCATTAGTGTTCAGTATCTATCTGATGATGCAGACGTCATTGGAGAGTTCACTCTTTCTGATCCCCAGGTAGTAAATTGATGTCATTAAATTATACTTTGTAACTTTTACGCTTGTTTTTTTTTTGTTTTTTTTCACCAGAACTTTTACGTTTGTTTTTGGTCATTCAGATTTTAGACTATTTCTCATGCATCACACTAGTGTTTGCTAACGTCATGAAGGTCCCTGATATTTCTGTTATCACTTCCTTATCTGCTCAAGCCTATATCATCTCATACTAAAATTCTTGATCATGTTCTTTTTTCCTTTAATTATATTAATTTTTCTGATTGTTTAATACAATAAATGAAGACATAATTATTAACTAAATCATGCTCTTATATAGAATGTAGGATAATATTTCTGGATTGTGGAGACAATGAAATGATGCTGTCAACTCCTAGCAACTGATCCGGATGATGACATCCCATTACTGAACCTGCGCGAGTCTATCCGATATTCTTAACTTTGACTTTTCAGCTTCAAAATCTACAAAGGTTATCAAGTACGAGATATGTGTTTTAGGAGACTGTGCTGCTTGTATTATTTTGCTGAATAACTAGAATGTAGCTTGTTTTTAGTATATCTATGATTTAGTTTTTTGAGAAAAACAATCGTCGAATTGTTCTGCAGATGTTTTGTGCTCAAGACTAAATTTAGAAGCTTGATGTGCCTATAGTAATGTGTTTTGATAGTAAATATGATATAGCGAAGTGATTTTATGTAGGCTTGTTTCCTCCTAGCTGATTTGCCTTATGGTTCTTTATTTATCACTTATTATTTGAATATATTTCTGACGTTGTTGCCTTGTGATGCAAACTTCTATCACATAACTTTAATTTCTTCAACTTGGGTGGAAAATTATAAAGGACTACAATTCTATGCCAAGCAAATTTGTAATTTGAGGTGTTATATCCTGGAAGCTAAAAAAAAAAGAAAGAAAGAAAGAAAAAGCAGAAACTAATATTTTACAGTAAAGCGTGCATTCTTTCATCGATGATTAAAAAATTGGAAATTCACTATTTTAGCTGCATTCAGCAAGGATGTAATTACTGATCAGTTTTTTTTTTCAAATACATATTGTGCCAAATAAAAGTTATAAGGTGACAAATATTATGAAAGATGAATGAGATTTTTTTTTTTTTTAGATAAGAAAATGTAGAATACATGATTACAGAATTTTGAGGGAAATTAATGTTTTGTAGCTTTACATATTATTAATTTATTATTGTCTTTTATAACTTTTCATAATTTAGCAATTTTAATTTTTTTAATAATAGCATGATAAAAGCAGACTAACCGAAAATATTTCAGTGTTCATAGTCTTTCCACTAGTGAAAAACCATTATAAAGCATTGGACTTAAATACACTGCCAAAATAACCTGCGCAAGTAGGAACTATGCACTGTTAGAAATCCCCGTCTTGGATGATCTCAGGCCATGCGATGCTAGAGATTTTTCCTTTTAAATAAATTTTTTTTGCATTAATTAATTAATTAAAAGGGAAAATTTTGGCCAAAAAAATTGAAAGCGAGAGATTAGGCACGAGTTCTCGTTAGTTTTCTCGCTCATCCTTACTTTACAACAATGAACAAATCAACTCAATTATAACCCTTCTGAACCCAAGCTACCTGACATAAAGTAAGATTATAATTTATTTGTCACTTTAACAATGTTTTCCTTGCTTTTATGTTTTTCGATTTTATATATTTTTCGGCAACTGTACAATTAATTTTTCATCGTGACTCTGCAAAGGTTACTTCTGAGCAGCTTAAGGATTCTCATCCCAGAGAATATACTTTCTTGAGTACTAGATGTAATAGTTAAAATACTCCTTCGGTTTTAAATATAAGATTCTTATATAGTATATATAATGGTCTTATATTTAGGATCGGAGGAGTATTTATTTTAGTTATAAGACTTTAATTCATTCTATCTCACCAATTTATAATTTTTCAAACAATTTGACACTATATAATGTATATTACATGTACTAAAGAGTTGTTAATAATGATAATTTTTTAATACAAAAGATGAAAGAGTATTTTAGAAAATCAACACACATTGATTTAAATATTTTAACTAATGAACACTTATATTTAGGACTTAGAAGAGTATTATTTTTCCTCCAATATGCCAGAGTCAGGGGAAAAAAAAAAAAAAAAAGGAGTCGCCTGAGGGCATATTTAGGATTTTTCTGCCTGAATTAACGTGATTGTCCATACTGCGTGGGATTTCTTTTGTTTAAATGAGTCTAGTATTCTAAACCTCAACTTTTTCTGTGTGTGTGTATAAAGTTTTGTTGATCATAACCTGGTTGCAAAGAATCTTTGCCTTTATTCTTGCATTCGTACGAGGAAGAATATTGGCTTATTACCTTATTTTGGAAAGACAGGATTTTCCCATGGAATTAATGACAAAAGCGATTTCTATGTCAAAAAGATTTTATTCTTTTTGCATCCTGCGATTGCTTTATGCCTGATGTTTTATTGCAATGGTCAAAAAAATCAAAGTATTGGCCAAATAATTGTCAAATCAAATGAATGAGATTTATGTAACCTTAAAAAAAAAAGAATGAAATATAATTTATTAAGTATACTTGGCATTCGAATCATGTGTATGAAAAAATTATATTAAAGGATTATTATAAATTAATCTCAATAATGGTGGAATTGAATTTGATAGAATCCGATATCAAATAATTATATTATAAAATTAGGAGTGTAATGACCTTATTGTGGCATATTATTATTATTATTATTAGGCACTGATTAGAATATTGTTGAATGAATCCTTAATCGAGGTGCTATAAGAATTAAAATTAATGATCTGGACAGTAGTAAAATATTGGCAGTTGTCCATTCAAATATTATATTTTTGTTAAATTTGATGGCTGCTTGAAAAGTTTCTTCCAAACTATAGAAAATAAATGGGTCAGATTTTTGTGAGAGCACGAGCAGGAATCTGTGGGGATTTCCTCAGCAGAGGCTGCCACAACTGAGTTTCAATAAAAATTTATATGACTAACAAATCATATGATGCAATAGTGTTGATGAGAAATTATCTCTTGAAAATAATAAAAATATTTACATCAACGTTATTAAATCATTATTTTTGAGTTTAAAGAGCAGGGATTAACAGCCGAAAGTTATAAATGAGATTAAATTTGCAACCTGTCATTTATGAAAAAAAAAAATTCACATCGCTAAGTTACAGGGCCATGAACATTAAATCACCTCTCTCTTAGTTAATATTCCCCAATTGAAGCTCGATGAAGAAAGCCCAATGAAAAAAAAAATAATCATCTTGAATTAAAAGGAGGAAATTAACTAAGACAGAGCATTAAATAATAACGGGATTAGGTTTAATGAAAGATGTTAGTCACTCACAACATGATGAATAAATATTTGAATCCTCACAAAAAGAGTAGCCATATTTAATACTCCTTCCGATCTCATATACAAGCTTCAAATAACCTAATTGTGTTTATTAAACTAGCAGTCAAAATTAGTTAAAAATAATAAATAGATCAAAAATGTATTTTTCCCTCCAAATTTGTCCATATTTATTAAGAGAGTAAATAAAAGAGGAAATAAAAAGAAAAAAATGAAGAAGGAGAACATATGGGGTGATGTTAATGAGAGAGAGGGGGTACTAAATATGGTTAACTAAGGACAAAATAGGAAAAAAAAAAGTAATAAAAGCTCGGACAAATTAAAAAATGAAGCTTATATTTTGAACTAGACCTTTCTTTAAAAGTGAAGTTTATATATAGTACTAGAGGGAGTACCCAACAATATCTCAAATAGGGTTACTTTTTTTTCGGTAGGTATGTGTATTTTCTTATTAAAGGCAATCATGTTCGAGGCATTATTGAGTACTAAATATGGGCACCTCTCCCAGTAAGGATTTAGACATTAATTCATCACATTGTGAGAAACTAGTCCATTTTACTAGACCCAATCCTTATTAGTAATACGATTAGTTTTAATAAGAAGATACTTGTGCCTAACAAAAAAATAGACGGGGATTGTTCCAGGTTGGCCCCTTTCTTTTTGGATTAAACAAGGGGCAAATTATTTCAGGTCCTCTGAAAACAAGAAGGTGGCCCTTTTATTTTGTTGCTGAATAGCGAGGGGGTCTAACGGCCTGAACAGATATACTCCTCCGGTCTTTAATATATAACCTAATTATTGAGTTGATTTTGGTCCTAAATATAAAACTTATTTATCATATTTATCAGTTTTTTCTAAATTATTCTTATGGATATTCCCTCAACTGTAATCAGGAAACGTGGATATTAAGAAAGATGATTATGGTGTTCTAAAAAAAAAAATCATATTTTTAATAATTAACTAACTTACCTAACTTCTTTAATCTAATTAAATTACTTAAATAGATCTTAAATTAAAAATCGGAGGAGTAACATCCTAACTACTAAAACGTTTCATATGGATCCCTCCTTTCCATTTTTGAACCATTCAAATTGAACTGTAATAATTTAAACATATTTTCTTTTTAAACGTGCTAATATTGTTTTTCAAAATTAATTTATATCGTTTAAATTAACTTGAACTTTTGCAAAGAAGAAATAAAATAAATTTTTTCGAGTTACTGATATCTTTTTATTGGAAGCAATCTTGTTCAAGTTACTATCAAGTACTAAATATAAATATTTCTTTCAACATGAATTTGGATAATCATTCTTCATATTGTGAGAAACTAAAATAATTTTATGAAGTGATCTGGCTAAAAAAAAATAGAGTGAAGAGAATTCAATATACCTTTTAAATATATATTCACGTTTTAAATTGTATGAATGCAAATAATTAGTCATTCAGTATTAAATGTAAGATCCTTAAAGAATACTCTATATTGGAAGTATTAGCTATATTTGACAGTGAGATTAACTTAAATCCAAGTTAGTCAAATCATACCCCCAAGTCCTTTTTTTTTTTTTGCCAACACATACCCCCAAGTCCTTAATGAAGCGCTAATGGCTTTCCTCCTTTTATACTTTGAATGACACCATTGGGCCTGCGGCCCATGTGCCTCCACTTTGATCGATACCCATGTCCTTAGCCTTATGTCGTCGTTTGAATGAAAGTAAACTGAGAGCCAATGAGAGTTTTATTCTTTCTCTCTCTCTCTCTCTCTCTCTCTCTCTCTCTCTCTCTCTCGTTTCAAATTAAAATAAAAATTAATTAAGAAAATAATTTACTGACAATAAGAAAAGGGAGCGAATCAAAGAAGCGGGCCGTGTCATTAATAATAGCAGGTCACATTCGGTGGCTTTGCATGGGTCCTAATCCTCCTGTCTGTAAGATTGGCACAAGATTCGACCGCCCGATTAAGCAATAGAGTTCAAAGAAATGTCAGTTGGGTTGTTGCTTGCGAGGTGGGATGTGGAATGTATCATACCACCTCCGGTACTAAAGACTTGTTAACTAATTTAAATAAATTAAAAAATAAGTTAAATTAGTTATTTGTAATAAATATGTGTTATTTTTTTTAAAATATTCTTACTAATCAAGTTTATTAGTCAGAACTATCATTATTAGAAGAACTATCTTTAAAAAAATAAATAAATATGAGAGACAAAGTGAATTGATGTTTTGTATTTAGAACCAAAATAAAAGTCAAACGAGGTCTTATATTAAGGACTGGAGGTAGTATTAATTATTAGCTCTGATTCTTAATATAAAACTCAATCGAGTAATTTGAAATATTTAATTATAACAT